ACTTGTTAAATTAGCATAAATAAATCTTTTTAGATCCAAAAAATGCTGCATAAATTGGTAAGAAAGCTAAGGTCTAAACAAACTTGATTTAATTTACTCTAAAACCCTTAAAAATTATTTATTTAAGGTAACCCCAAACACACGACCAAAAAAAAAGAAAAACTAGCTTCAAACAAATTCATTATATTACAAGGATATCACAACCATTGACAATTTAAAATCACATTTTTTTTATCTCCACGAAACACAAGACAATCAAACTTAGGGGTGCCACTTTTAACAATTATCATGAATTACAATACAAATTCGATATAACATGTTCAACTTATAACAATGTATACCACTCATGTTGTAGTTAAAGACCGACTTTGGTAGTTATTCACATTGTAGCAACGAAAGATTCAATTCAAGTTAAAATTCTGAAAAAAAATGATGTAACATTTGCTAATGTTTCTTGTAAGTATTCTTTTAACAAATAATTAATTTCGTAATATATATATTGATGGGTTAAGCCCAAATAGTCCAATTTATGTGTTAAAGTCCAACCCCAATTGAGGAGCCCAACCTCATTTTGATTCCACCAAGTCCAAGACAGTCCAAGATCGGTTAGACTTTTTGCTTAGCACGTCACCAAGAGGAGAGCATGTGAAGCTTATCTGCACCACCGAAGGAAACGGTCCAATCTTTGACCACGTTTCATGAAGAGCTCCCCAACATAAAGAAGCCTTGAGGATAAGTCGTGATCTCCACCAGAATAATCTCTTAGCTGCGATAAAGAAGTCTTGAAGATAAGTCATGATCTCCACAAGAATGATCTCTTAGCTGCTATAAAATAGCCTCAATTTGTGAGGAGACGGGAGATGAAGGTTACACCCCACCAACACTTATAGAGGATAGATCGACGATCGGAGACCACTTTTTTTGATTCTCCATTCTCTCAAAGCTTGTATCTCTATTCTCCATACCTCTGAATTAATAAAATACCCGGCAACTGAAGCCATTGAAGAGTGGACGTAGGTCGAATTGACCAAACCACTATAAATTGTGTCTTCTTTAATTCTTTCATCGATTTCACTGCATTTATTATCTACACTTGACAGGTGGTGTGCAAAACCATTTTTGTGCATCATCAGTTTGGCGCCGTCTGTGGGAATCGACAAAATTCTCACTCCTGAACATTACATCCATTAACTAATGGCGATCACTACTCGATCCATGAATCAACACGAAGACAATCCTCCACGAGAGGAGGAGGTTGCTCTCCCGCCTATCAACCTTGTTCCGGATACTCTAGCCCCGAATCCCCAACAAATATTGGAGACCATGCAGCAACTGGTTGCTCAAAACCAACAGTTACTGCAACTCATACTTGCTGGACAAGGATGAGCACCACACGGAGGTGCACAGCATGGAGGACACCAAGGTGGAGCACCACACGGAGGTGCACAACGTGGAGCACCACACGGAGATGCACAACATGGAGGGCCCCACGGAGGTGCACAACATAGAGCACCCCAGGGAGCTCCACGTCCTGGACATCAAGGAGCACCACGCCCTGTTGCTCCACGCCCGGGCGCCCCATTGGGCACCCCACTTCGGGAAGCCCAACATGAGGGAGCTGCACCTCCCCCTCCCCTTACTTCCCAGGGAGAGGACCCTTATCTCCAGGAGGATGAGGGTGAAAACCAAAGCATGGAGCATGGAAACCACTTCCATGATCATTCCAAAGGAGCCCCCAATCATTAGGACGAAAAGATAAAAGAGGTACAGAATCAATTCGGTGATGTCTTCAACGCCATGAAGGCACAGGGACCCGATACTGTTGACCACTTGGTAAGGCGTACTGATACGCCTTTCAAACCTGATGTAGCAAACTACCCCCTCCCTCAGAAGTTCAAAATGCCATCTGTGGAGACCTTTGATGGAACAAAGGATCCACTGGACCACCTCGACACTTACAAGACCTTGATGCAATTGCACAACGTACCAGACGAAATCATGTGCAGGACATTCCCAACCACATTAAAGGGGTCTGCCCGACAGTGGTTTGCTAAGCTCTCCCCCGTCTCTATTTCCTCTTTCGCCGAGCTTAGCAGATCATTCGTCTCATACTTCATTGGAGGGCGTCGCCACCATAAGCCAGTTACGCACCTGCTTAGTATAAAGCAGGACCGCGAGGAGAGCCTGAGGAGTTACCTCACTCGTTTTAACAAGGAGGTACTCCAAGTTGATGAACCCGACGACAAGGTGACGATGACCGCCTTCTTGGGTGGCCTCCGTTCATCATGCTTCTTTTTCTCAGTTCTGAAGCGTCCATCGAAGAGCAAGCCAGAGCTGCTAGCCAAGGCCCAAAAGTACATAAACGCAAAAGACATCACAAGGGCCAGGCGGGGTGAGTCTTCCAGAGCAGGGGATAAAAGGAAGGAAAGGGAGAGGGACGATAAGAAGGGGACCAGCAACAAACATGGTAGGACAGAGAAAGTCCCTGTCAAGGACCGGCTAGGTCCTGCTCCTCAGAGGAACCGTCAACCCTTCACTCCCCTCAATGCTTCCGTGGAACACATCCTATTCCAAATCCAGGATGACCCCCCGATAAAGTGGCCTGGAAAAATGAAGTCTCCTCCAATTCGCAGAAATCCTAACAAGTATTGCCGCTTCCATCGTGACCACGGGCATGACACCGACGATTGCTACGACCTCAAGAGGCAAATTGAGGGGCTCATCCAGCGTGGTCACTTACGCTAGTACGTTGCTGGAAGGGAACGAGCACCACAACCTCACAACCAGGAAGATCAGCAGCCAGTGGGGGAAATACACACCATCTAAGGGGGACTAGCAGGTGGGGGAGAATCACTTTCTGCGATGAAGGCCCATGCCAGGAAGGCAAGACATGTCTACGAGATGCGCCCATCTAAGGTGCCGAAGCAGGAAGGCGACGTGGTCATATCTTTTTCAGACAAGGACCTGGAGGAAATCTAACACCCCCATGACGACCCCTTGGTGCTCACCATGACGGTGGCCAATTTTCATGTGCACAGGATCCTGGTGGATAGTGGTAGCTCTGCGGATATCCTGTTTGCAGAGGCCTATGACAAGCTCAACCTGGGCAGGGAGAGGCTACAACCAATCAGGTCACCCCTCATTGGATTCTCAGGGGAAAAAGTGTATCCCCTTGGATCCATCACACTTCCCGTCACCAGTTGAGGAGCCCAAATAGTCCAATTTATGTGTTAAAGTCCAACCCCAGTTGAGGAGCCCAATCTCATTTTGATTCCACCAAGCCCAAGACAGTCCAAGACCAGTTAGACTTTTTGCTTAGCACGTCACCAAGAGGAGAGCATGTGAAGCTTATCTGCACCACCGAAGGAAACGGTCCAATCTTTGACCACGTTTCATGAAGAGCTCCCCAACCTCCTCCTTCCTTGAGGATAAGTCGTGATCTCCACCAGAATAATCTCTTAGCTGCGATAAAGAAGCCTTGAGGATAAGTCGTGATCTCCACCAGAATAATCTCTTAACTGCGATAAAGAAGCCTTGAGAATAAGTCATGATCTCCACAACAATGATCTTTTAGCTGCTATAAAGTAGCCCCAATCTGTGAGGAGACGGGAGATGAAGGTCACACACCACCAACACTTACAGAGGATAGATCGACGACCGGATACCACTTTATTTGATTCTCCATTCTCTCAAAGCTTGTATCTCTATTCTCCATACCTCTGAATTAATAAAATACCCTGCAATTGAAGCCATTGAAGTGTAGACGTAGGTCGAATGGACCGAACCACTATAAATTGTGTCTTCTTTAATTCTTTCATCGATTTCACTGCATTTATTATCTACACTTGACAGGTGGTGTGCAAAATTATTTTTGTGCATCATTATATATATATATATATATATATATATATATATATATACTAATAAAAAAAGCATAAACTTTAAGCATTAGCCTAATGGGTGATGTTCTAACTTAGTTTAAATCATAATAATCAGTCGTTGAATTTAAAAAATTAGTCGGTGCATGTGTAAATACTTTATAATCAAAAAAAATATAAAAGCATTAGGAGAAAAAAGAAACAAATAAAAAAGGAACAAACTCAACAAGAGGAGAAAAGGAGGATAACTTGAAAACAAAACACATCCATACAATTTCTCATGTATTGTGGGAGTTAAACAGAAAAAAACCATATGTGGTGGAGATATGAAACCTCATCCACAATTCAGTTGAACGAGGTGCTACCAAAACCAGTTGGCTCTGACACAATCAACCCTCCAGACAATGAACCAACCCGACTTTTTTATTTTTTTCATCACCTCTCACAATCCCAATGCAAGCATATCCACATACTATCTTGTCAACACTCACGAGTCACGAGTAATGGGGCAAACATATAAGCGGGCTTAGACTAATTTTAATGATATATCTCCTAAAGAATAAGTATCAGCGAACTTTAAAGAGTGTAAAAAATATCGAAGATGAGACATCTTACTTATAAAAAGATAAATTTAATTACTGAATTATCTCTAAAAATTGACAAAGATTTAATTTTGTTGATGTTATTAAATATTATTATGGTATCAAACCCAATGTTATAATAAGTAATTACGTTATTTTAAGGTTTGAATAAATATAGTTAGAGCAATAAATCTTATAAATGCAAAGCGAAAGTGCAATGTAAATCTACACGCTCTTCTGGATTTTGATCTCATTTGTTATGCGAATTGCTTCAAATTGAATTAATGCTCGATCTCACATATTAATAGAACTTAACAAAATTAAATAAATATCAATTAAATTAATTTTAATTTATTAATGTCAATATTAAAAGTTTAAATTTATTAGATTATTCCTTTAATCTCATTGAATCTTATTCTAAATTCTTTTTTTTGGGGAGGGAGAGAGAGAGAGAGAGAGAGAGAGAGAGAGAGAGGGCATGGTAGTAAAAGGTGCAAAAATGTCATCATCTGTCAACCGGCCCACAAAGGAAGAAATAATGGGACTTGGGCCGAAGGATTGAAAATGAATGATCTCTATTATTTCTCCGATTCGAACTGGACTCGGAGCTGAGTATAATCCCAAGAAATTCAAGAGAGAGGAACGCTGTTTATTTGGAGAGAGAAGAGCGGGGAATGGGAAGAGCGTTTGTGTACGTGATACTTGGGGGAGGAGTCGCAGCTGGATATGCAGCTCTTGAATTCGTCAAGAAAGGTGTCTCTCATGGTGAACTCTGCATCATCTCTGAAGAAGCTGTATATTACTCCTCTCTCTCTTTCTCTCTGTATGCATATTTTATCATTTGTTTTCCTTTTTCCGCTATTGGATTCTTTTCTCTTGTGTTCTATGCTTTTATTGGTTAGTTAATTACTTCATCATATTCTGAACTCGGTTCAGAGATAGAATTTGATGGATTTAGAGCTTGACATTGCTATGAGCTGTTCAAATTTCAAACAGGACGTTGCATTAGTATATTCAACTCGGCCGGCGTCCTTTTTTTTTATTCTTCCTTTCTGTTTTGATTAGGTTGTTTTGCCCAATTCTTAGTTCCATTTGACTTGGGTTTCCTAGATATTATTTCTTCTGAATTTGGATCTTGCCCTTTTTTGAAAAGGTATTTGGAATTTATTTTTGCAATTAGGTTTGTGAGAAATTCTGACCAAATTTGTTAGTGCTAGCTCTGCTTTTATAAAATTTAGATGCCGTTGTAATCAATTCAATGTCTAAACTTCTGTATCAGTTCAATCAACACTCTGCTCTCTGTAGAACTGCATAGCGTGTTTTATTTCCAAATTCCAATTCATTTTAAATGGAGAGAGAGAGAGACTGACTTACGAAAAAGTTATAATTGTTACTGACGACAGATTTAAAAGCCATTGTTGTGTGTATTTGTTGCAGAAATAGTTGAGTCACTAAGAAAAGTAGTAGCCAGTGGCCTTCAATCACCTTACATGTATTCATGGTTCAACCAAGTAGGTTAAAAAATTTGCATTTTTTTTGGTTGAAATCTCAGATGAATGGACAAACTGTTAACTGCGGGCAGCACGTAATTCATATTCACATGGTTAGACTAATTCTCAGATTTTTTTTTTTAAGTTTTAGGCTTAACTAACAAATTTTGATCACTCTTTTGATCTTTCAAATGATGTGCTGAACTTGCTGACAAGGTTTTCTTATAATGGTTGACAAAGCTGGATACTCCTAAACTGCTGCCATATTTTCTGCAGGTTGTGCCTTATGAGAGACCTGCATTAAGCAAAGGTTTTTTACTACCAGAAGGTATCATCTTCTCACCGTAAGTCATATGTTAACTGTGTTTTTATATTTTTCATCAAAGATATATGACATGTCTCAATAGCTAAAGCAAGAACACCTTGAGATTCACTAATATGAATATTATTATTCCCCATATAGATTAGTTAGATTCGTAGAACAAAAGAAGAGCTTGTATCATGTCTCCTTAAATTCACTCACAAAAGAGTAACCCCCATCATGGAAGTTATTTCCTTGCCTGATACATCACCTTTGGGCTTTTGGTAGCCATGTTTGTTTGTTAGTCATGTAGTTTGATTGGCTATTTACCTATTGGAAATTGTGAAAAATAAAGGACTAACCATTAAATTAACAAAGTTTCTTACTTTTCCTCATATCCTCTATTAACTCTACAAATGTTCCATGGAACCGAAACATGGAATAACTTAACTGGAGAAATGAAATAGTTTGAACAGGTTTCATGTCTATTTTATGCTTTCTTCCTATTTCTTTATTGGCCTGTTTGTTGTTTAATTATTCATATTTGCTGTGATATGCAGATCCTGCACGCCTCCCTTCATTTCACACTTGTGTTGGTTCCAATGAGGAAAGGTTAACTCCAAAATGGTACAAGGAAAATGGTAGTTGTTCTCTTACTATGCTGACTTGAATCCATATGATAATGCTAATGTTATGAGAAACTGTTGGTTATTTATTACCACAGTTTTTGTCCTAAGCTATATTTATTGATGCAAGTGTCTTGGTAACTTTCTTGAATCAGCATCGTTGTTTGTTTTTCTTTGCTTTTTGCCAAGTACCCTTCTTTTTTTTTTTAACGCTTGGTTGTGATCAAAATGTCGATCAATCAATGGAAGAGAGAAATTAATATTAGTAACACTGTCGAAGTCGTTATTATGGCATCAATGTTTAATATCAGTCTGTTTGTTTCAACAATGGTGGTTTGGGGTTTAGAATATGAATTTTGGTTTACATGAACCATAGGAGCAAGATAACAGTCTATGTACTTCACATTTTCCTTATTACAGTATGTGATACTTGGAGTCTGGATGTTTGTTTCCAGGAATCGAACTGGTTATTGGAACTCGAGTGAAGTCTGCTGATGTGAGGCGGAAGACGTTGTTGACAGCAACAGGAGAAACTATAAGCTACCAGATTCTCATCATTGCAACAGGTGCTCGGGTACTGAAATTTGATCTTGAAATTTATTAATGCCTTATGATTCACTAGAAAGGCAATTGACCTCATTTGTAATAGCTGAATGCATTTTAAAAATAAAGAAAGTGATATTCCTTTGGAAAAACGTCAGTGCTCAGCTTGCCACAGGCATGATTTCAGCACTGACTTTGGACTTTGTGACCTCAACTGTTTCAATTCAGAATTTAATGACAAGTTTAATGCCTAAAAGAAAGAGATTTATTGAGCTCGTTGATAACATTTAATTTGGATGTGTGAAGTATAGGCTTTGAAGCTTGAGGAGTTTGGAGTGACTGGTTCAGATGCTGAAAATGTGTGTTATTTACGCGATTTGGCTGATGCAACGAGGCTCGTCAATGTGATGCAATGCTGTAGTGGTGGAGATGCTGTTGTCATCGGTGGTGGCTACATAGGAATGGAATGTGCTGCATCTTTAGTGATAAATAAGATAAATGTCACCATGGTTTTCCCAGAGGCACATTGCAGTAAGTATTTTTGTATGAAAACTTCTTCATCTTTGTAATCTCAATTCCAGAAATTTGAGCCAGAAATTCGTCATTTAGAATCAAGTTGTCATAAAAAAATTGTGGTCACCACCACTAAGAATTCATGCTAAATTGGATAAAAGTAGGTGTTACCGTTTTCAATTTGGTACAAATGCAATGGCATTTTCCTTCGGTGGAATTTATTTATTGTTTCCCTCTGGCAACTTCTAGAACAAAGTTCATCACTTTGTTCCTTTTTGTAGTGGCTCGTTTATTTACATCGAAGATTGCAAGTTACTATGAAGACTTTTACAAGTCTAAAGGAGTGAAGTTTATCAAAGGAACTGTCTTGTCATCATTTGATTTCAACCCTGTTGGGAAGGTATATCCTATGCTTACACGGCTTCAGAATCCAGAGATTTGTTACTGTTAATTTTGGGGCACATGAGAATTTAAAAGTTGCCTTCACCAATATTGGCGACTTTATGTCCACTCTTCCTGTTTTCCTCATTTCTCCTGTGACGGTGGCTGTGACCATACTTTCACATCTGATATCTTATTTTCAAGTTATTGATGACTAACTGGACCAATTAACTAATGACACAGGTTACAGCAGTTAACCTTAGGGATGGAAGTCGTCTCCCTGCTGATATGGTTGTGGTTGGAATTGGTATCCGCCCTAACACAAGCCTGTTTGAAGGCCAACTCACGCTTGAGAAGGGAGGAATCAAAGTGAATGGGCGGTTGCAGTCAAGCAACAGCTCTGTCTATGCTGTTGGGGATGTTGCAACATTTCCAGTCAAACTTTTTGGGGAAACCCGTAGGCTTGAGCATGTTGACTCAGCCCGAAAGTCAGCAAAACATGTTGTTGCTGCAATAATGGAACCAGACAAGATAGGCGAATTTGACTACCTGCCATTCTTCTACTCCAGAGTCTTCACACTGTCTTGGCAGTTTTATGGAGATGGTGTCGGGGAAGTTGTTCATTTTGGGGATTTCTCGGGAAATACATTTGGGGCTTACTGGGTAAGTAAGGGTCATCTTATCGGATCTTTTCTTGAAGGAGGAACCAAAGAGGAGTATGAGGCTATAGCTAAGGCCACCAGGATGATGCCAGCCATTGAAGACTTGGCTGAGCTGGAAAGGCAGGGTTTGGGGTTTGCTTTGACAGCAAGTCAGAAACCACAACCATCCCCATCTCTTGATGTTAGTTGTGGTACTGGCCTAGTCCTGGAGAAACCAATATATGCTTGGCATGCAACGGCTGGTGTGGTTGTGGCTGCATCAATAGCTGCTTTCGCATATTGGTATGGAAGGAGGCATCGGAGGTGGTAAGAAATTGCTGCTGGGCTCTGCAATTTTTCGAATCCTTGATATTGCTGATTCAATACTGCAATACCATGTTGTACCAGTTTAGGCTAGTGTATGGGACAATACTTGATCTTACATGATAATTGAAAGCAGAAAATGGCTCAAATGTATTCTTACTTGCCAAATTATATTTCTATACAGTGCAGGGGACTTGTTCCAATAAGTAAGTCATTAGACTTTCTTGTTTTTTTATATTTCACTGATATGTTGAAATTTATTATGGTCTTATTTTTTTAGGTGTCCGGATTAGCTTACGCATACTTTAACTAATATCTTTCCCGAGTCGGTCAAAAGTAGGCATCCACACTAGAATTAGGATATTTGTGAAAAATAAATTTCTCATTATCTGGTCCTAAGAGATTGTCAAGATTTAAATTCGAGACATTTAGATTTACGGGTTGTCCTAGTTACCATTTGGGCTTTTTCCTTTTAGTTATTTACTGTGGTCTTCAAGGGTTAGGCTTTTATCAAATATGAATGCGACCCTCCATTGTCGACTATTGTGCATTAGCAATGTGTTCTAGTTATATAGCATTTCTCTTTTTGCATATAAAGAATGCGTTTGTTCTTTTACGTAGAGATCGTGCGTAGTCTAAACACTTCAACCAATGTTTTGATCGTGCTTCATTGGATTAATGATAATGACCAGATGAAAATGGAATTAGATGCTTGATTGTCAATTGAAAGAAAGCCAGTCTTTGAAATTGTTGAACTGACAGAATGCCAATTGCACCTCTAACCGAGTGCCCTGATGAGTGATGAGGGCTAAAATTACCGAACTAGTGAATGGAATTTTCTGCTTCTAATTAAGCAAACATGACCATGAGGAGGTGAGGATGCTTTCGACCCGTCTCTTGTAACACGTAAATTTTTCCAGGTCATATACATTGTTGGTGATCTATAATCTCCATAATTTCTTTCAAACTATTGTATACCCAAGAAAATTTTGAGAAAATTACTGTTTTATTTATCCTGTAATGGTAGAAGTCTCGTCCAATAGGTATGCTCTATTTTTTTTATTGCTTTGTCTAGAAATAAGTTGCTTTTATTACCTGTAATTTAATGATCATAATTTTGTCCCACAATTCCCAAATATTAAAACTTGTGCGACATGATACTGACGGTGGGCATTAATTTAGTTTTATTCAACCACTAAAAAAATATTATTTAATTAATAATATAATAAACTCTTTGTTTGTAACAAAGAGAGGGCATTTGGTCTAGTGGTATGATTCTCGCTTTGGGTGCGAGAGGTCCCGAGTTCGATTCTCGGAATGCCCCTTCAAGTCTTTCTTTTGTGTTTTTGCTTTTTTGATGGACACCCAAACATAGGGTCTGGGCCTTCACATGTGGTCATTCGGACATAGGCCCGTTATTAGTCCAACCAACACATGGTGTGGGCTTTAAGATGTATCAAAACTAAAGTCGGCCTAACTAACAGGTGGAATAGGCTTTAAGATGTGTCAAAATGAAAGTCAGCCCATTATTAGTCCAACCAATCGGCTTATTATCAGTCCAAACCGAATAGAAATCAAAACGAGGAAAATTACCTTCGTTTACACATTCTGCTCCTTATCCTATCCTCTTCGTCTTCCCTGTACAGTCTACTCTCTCTCTCCCACCCTGCAAAATGGCCTCGACAGTATCCACCGTGACACTCCGTTCACCCTCTTATCCTCCATCCTCATCTATCGCGTATCCTACGCACCCCTCAGTCACTTTCCCTAAACAAACCCTACAGTTTCCTATCCAAACCCCTAAACTTCTCCACCGTCGCGCCACCCTTCTCCGCCCTCTCGCTGCTGTCGAGGCCCCTGAGAAAATTGTCCAACTCGGCGACGAAATCTCCAACCTAACCCTCGCAGACGCCCAGAAGCTCGTGGAGTACCTCCAAGACAAGCTCGGCGTCTCCGCCGCGTCATTCGCTCCCGTCGCTGCCGTCGCCGCCGCCCCTGGAGCAGCCGAGGGTCCCGCCGTCGTGGAGGAGAAGACGGAGTTCGATGTAGTCATCGAGGAAGTGCCGAGCAATTCGCGTATATCGACGATCAAAGCGGTTAGGGCTTTGACGAGTTTGGCTTTGAAAGAGGCTAAAGAATTGATCGAAGGATTGCCGAAGAAATTTAAGGAAGGAGTGTCGAAGGATGAGGCAGAGGAGGTGAAGAAACAGCTCGAAGAAGCTGGAGCGAAAATCGCCATTGTTTAGACGAGTTACGGTAATTTTTTGTAATTTTATGTACTTTCTGTGGAAAATGAGTGTGTTTGTTAGCTTATGAAATCATAGTTTTACTCGTGCTTAAAAAGCTTTCAACCTCCATGAATTGAAATTATTTGTGTGTCTATTTGTTTGAACTTGTGTGTATCATTCCTTAATTTTCTCTCATCGCCTCTGTTGTATTATGGGGGTTAAATCTGCATATTCTTGAATGAAATCATCAACTATGAATGCTAGTCTTTGGCATGGGCTGATTATAAAATTTAGGCTTCAGATGATTGAAGGGTTATGTTGGTTTTGCATAGCCGATAATTAACACTTGTATTGAATTCCTACCAATTGTCGGGAGATAGGAATTCAAGATAGGACTTTTTCAATTTGTTTCATATTCGATTCAGGGTTCTCACATGAGATTACCCAACAGGTAAGCTTGTCGTGAATTTGTTGGACTGAACTTGGAATTCTTACTCGAGAATGTTGAATCTTATCCATTGCTATGAACTGAAGCAGTAGTTCAGTTATATATGCTCTTTGTCATTATCTTAGCCAACAATGTACATTGCAAATAAAATATGGGGAAGCCTCAAAACATGTCCTAATTTCCTTTAAGACAGGGTAAAAACATGTTTCTATCCCTTACCGATGATTGCTGTTTACTGGTGTCACAATCAGGTGTTCCAGAGCTTCTACAGAGGAGACTTTGTTCACATTTTAACTTCTTGTTCTTGTTCTTATTGCATGAAATTGAGCTCAAATTGCAAATATGAAAACAACACTTTAGGTAGAGTAGGAACCTTTAGGTGGGGAAGGAGGATAATGGTTCAAAACCGTTTCTCTCCGCACTTACATGTGATGGTTTGTAGTAAGGGTTTTTACTCTTTAACTTCAGGAGGAAACCTCTTTTAGTGGTTGAAACTTTTCATTGCAAATTGAATGGGAAATTGGAAAAGGAAAACATAAGGAAAAAAGCTGCTGCTTCTCTTTCTTCTTCCTAGCCAAACAAAATTTCAAGGAAAAAAAAAGGAAAGAGGGGTGATAATATGTTACATTTTCCCTTACGATATGTTTTTTTTGTAAAAGGCGAAATTGGAAAAAAGACAGGCCCCAAAAAAGAGTAGAGGAAAAACGTGGCTCACTCATCCTTTTTTTTATTTTACCAAATCCCCCCCCCCCCCCCCCCCCTTTTTATCTCCCACACCAAAACAAAAACCCACCAAAACCCAAAAATAAAGAAGAAAGAAAGTTAAATTGCTTCCTATTAAATTCCAAAGAGGGAAAGCAAGAAAGAGTTAGCAATTGAGGGAAAAAATTAATATTTATTAAGTCTTATTATTAATATTTTGGGTTAATTGTACGAGAGGTTTTTAAAATATGGTGTGTCTAATTTTGGTCTCAATATTTTTATTGTATTTTTTGATCCTGAATATCGAATATGTTTTTATATGCTTTCTCACGTAGAGTTGTTAATCAAACTGAATTATTCGAGCTTGGTTAGGGTTCGGCTTGTTCAGGTTCGATTTGTTTTTTAAACGAACCTGAATTTGAATAAGTTTTTAGAACATTACGTTTAAAACAAGTCCTATAAGTTCGACTCAAACTTGACA